ATAATTTAGTTTATGAGATTTTTGGAACGTATACCGGGCGTGGGACCCGCTAGGGCAGTAAGTTCAGTAAAATTGCGCCAATTAGGTTAAGTTTTGTGTACTGGGATTAATTTGCTAGATGTTAAGAGGTAATTAGAGGTTGCTTAGATGGTTAATGATGGAGAGACAAAAGGATAAGTGTTAAACTTACAAGGTGCCACGTGTCACTTTTTCATTCGAGCTTGACTTTGACCATTATTTCTTACCTTTACTAATACTTAATTTTGACCCAAAAATCACCCAATTTTGCAAGTCTTTGGCCGACTCTCTCTCTCTCAAGAAGACAAGAAAAGAAAACTCTCAACCTTTTGCTTCTAATCTTGCCTAAATCTTGCAATCCAACCGATTAATCACGAGATTATTCCATGAAAACCTCTAGCTAGGTAGGATTGAGGAAGTTGGTGGAGTTGTTTTGGAAGCAAGAGACCTAAGCTACTACCTTTTGTGAGTTATCAAGGTACGGTGTGTAAATATCCATTGTTTGTTTTCAATAATGGTGAATTCATGACTTGTGATGGCTAAAGAGATGTTTTAGTGGAAGATTTTATGATTTTTGGTAGAGATTGATGAATTTTTAGTTTATGCTTGATTTTTCTGATTTCATATGTTTGGTGTTGGTTAGTCATGGATTGTTGGTTAGTTATAGTGTAAAATGAAGTTGAGATATGTTGGATGTGATAGATTGTACAAAAATTCTGGTTTGGGGCAGAGATTCCAGATTAGGGTTTCACTAACCCCTGTTCTGCCCGTTTCTGTTAGACCAGGGTAGAGGCCGAATTGGCCTTGGCACAAAACATTAAAGTTGTAGAGAATGATGTTTTATAGTTGCCTGTAAAGTTTCAGCCCAATCCAAGCTCGGTAGCCTGAGATAAGACGGAAATACCCAGACTGGTCTAGGTAGGAGTAAAGCGAACAGGGTTGTCATTTCACCTAATCTGACCGTGACGTTTCACCATGATCCTTACCGAATTAGATTTTGTCCAAAACATAAAAGTTGTAGCCAATAGTAAAAAATAGTTTCCTTCAAAATTTCAGCTTGATCAGACCACTGTAGCATGTGAAACGACCGAAATACCCTTGACTGTCCATGAAACCTGTTTCGCGCCCAGAATGCTGTTTTCGTGTAGTTTTCCATTTTTGATCATGAAAATGCATGATTTGGCCTTGGAGGTCTTTATAAGAAATGTAGGGTTGTGTTTTAGCTTCGAAACACCATAAGATACACTTCAATCGGACTTCAGTAGCCTGAGTTGTTGCTGTTTCACAATTGTGCGGTTAGCCAACCTGTTTGTGAGATTCTGGTTTCGTATATTTCAATTTTGACCTAGCTTCACTACAAACTGGACTGAGTGGCCTTCTTCAACATTGTAGCCCTTTCTGTTAGCTTCGAAACGGTATATCTTTCACCTCCATCCGATAATCGTAGTGCCGGTTGTGGCCAATAGCCTAAATGACGTCAAAGCTGTTTTTAGGTTTTAAGGTTTAACCTTCATTTTCGGACTTTCCCTAGTTTATTTTAGTACTTATACGTGCTAGTGAAGGCTTGTTTTGGTAGTAGGTGGATTTGGTTTGTGACTTGTAATCGAGTCTTATTATGCTTACTTGAATGTATATTGATTTTGAACCACATAAACGATTCCGAAAAATAATATTTCTGAGCCTATCTAGTTGGATTCCGACTTGACTTTGATTCAGGTGTTTTCCATTGGAATGATAAAGTAAAAAGATGAAACCCAACATATTGTTTAAAAGACAAACATCAAATACTATTACATCCCTTCACCAAGCTGGATACATGATATCCCTATTTAAGTCAATGTCTTCCTCCTCCTCGTCATCTACTAGTTGGTAATTAGAAAGATTACCATCGTTCAGCCACGTATAATTCGTATTGTCCACCGATTGTTGGAATCCGTGAATTGGCTCCAACCCCTGCTTTACTCCAACATCATGCAACTAACATTAAAGAGCATAAACAAATCCACCGTGATGATTAAAAACATTAAAAATAACATTTTATAGCCACCTTACAATATAGTATCCAAAAAAACAAAAAAAAAACATTTTCTAGAAAGACAAATTGCACAACCCACCTGATGGTCCAGTTGATCCCAGTCATTGTCCGAGTTAAAATGCATGTTCATTCCCCCTCTCACCCAAGCAGCGCTTGTATTATCCTCAAAGATGTCTCGAGACAGGCCTAGAGCGTGAGACAAGTCGTCGTTGGGATTTTCTATATGGAGGGGACAAGTTCTCTTATTATGCCTTCCCTTCCACTGCCACAAAAAGTTAGAATATACATGAAACCACCAAAAAAACACGCCATAGAAGCAACTCAAAAATATGAACATGCCATAGAAACTACAAAATATGAAAAGTCGAAAACTTATAACAACTGTTAAAACTAACCCGCAATTTCCACATTTGTTGCGGACGTGTCTTTCTTTTCCTTAAGTTCTCTATCACCCCTCAGCCTGTTTGCATGAGGATCACCGATACCCACTTTACCAGATGCATCTCCCTTTCTATGCGCTTGTGATGAGCTGCCCGTAGCAATGGATTCTTCTAAGGATAGGGTTTTCATTTCGGCAGTTTGTATATCTATTACATTCAATAATTGAGTGTATCCAGTAGTAGTCTTTGCCCCATAGTAGCACATAGTATTGCAACCACTAGACAAACGAGCATACCTTGCCATTTCATTAACATTAGTGACCTCTGATCTTTCTTGTAGACTGCCACTTCTCCCAAGTCTTGCATCTCTAGTCCAGCTTTGCATAATGCAATTAGGTGGAATTTTCTTCATTCCTTCTATCACCATTATCCTAAACATGTGACTACAAGGAAGTCTTACTCCATTTGCAGGCATGAACAACTCATTATGCCAGAAGTTCTATTGTATAAAACCCTCAACTCCCATTTGAATAGGAATGGGAAATAAAATGAATGCATTGGACTCCATCGTCCATGGCATTATATCTGAAGTATAACCCTTGGCTCCTCATCTCAGCTCTAACCTTGAGAAAGATCCTTCGAGTGAAAACTTCTACTGCATGCTGCTCCAAGTAGTGGGTCTCGGTTGCTGGTAGTAGACTAGTGTGCTTTGTCTCAACATTCATTCTTGCCTCTTCATGGCGAAGCCATGCATTTGCCAAATCGAAAGCTCTAAGAGTCTCAAATAGCCTTAACTCCCTATGAAGGTATATCTTCAACATAGCGTGCATCCTCTCGCACCTCTGTGTACTTCGCATGCCACCGAAAAAATAGCCCCTCAAGTATGCTAGTGCCCAGCGCTTCCTCTTTCTATACACTTGCTTAACCCAGTGATTGTTCTCCATATTGAACGAACATACAGTTTGGCCCACTTTGCTTCAAATTTGTCTATAGAACAGTTGTTGTACATACAATCTTTAAATCCCACTCTGAAATCCTTGTTACCTACATGTGAGTTAAGGTTTTGGTTCAAATGCCAGCAGCACAATCTGTGCTTCATGTTGGGGAGACATTTTTTTATAGCTTTTCTCATTTGTGGAGCGCCATCAGTCACGACCGATATGGGTTTTTTCCCATCCATCGCCTCAAGAAAGTGTTAAGGACCCATTCATATGCCCCTTCGTCTTCCTCGCGTACAGTCGAGCATGCAAATATGGATGTGGAGAAGTGATTGTTGATGCCGCACATGACCACAAGAGGGTGCAAGTATTTGTTTGTATTATAGGTGCTGTCAAATACAATAACATCGCCAAAGCATCTGTAGTCCTCACGTGACTGGAATCGCTCCAGAACAACCTTGATAGTCTCCTTTCACTATCAACTGTGAAATTGAAATACAAGTTCGGGTCTACATCTTTTTACCAAATAGGTATGCAAAGGCCCCTTCTGCGTCGCCATCCGCGATCTCTTCCATCCTTTCTGAATTCATCTTATTATATAGGTCCTTGATAGTGAAAGGAACATTGTTATACCCACCGCATTGAAGCACGAACAACTTCATAATCTGACTTGTCTTCATTCCAACACGACGAAGAACATGCGCTTGAGCATAGTCGGCTTCTGAGATGTGGCGGTGGGATTTTAGGAACTTCGTACTTGTTGGGCTTGCTAGTTTGTGGTTGTGACGCATTACAATATTACTGACCACGTACTTGTCCTCCTCACTGAAAGCCTTACTTTGAAATATGCCTTACAATCAACTTTGTGACCGCCTTTGGCTCTCTTTGCCGATCCTTTCTTTGTATGTGTTTCTTATCCCGGAGCCCTTGCCTACTACACACCCATTGCCTATATCTGACCCAACCGGTTTCGGGTCCTTTAGTTTATAACTCTTGCGGACACTGAATCCTGTTGCTCGACCAAGCATCACGTAGAAGGCTTCAGCTTCGTTTTCTGTATTGAACTTCATTGTCATCACATCTCGTTCATCTAAGTCCTCATAGTTGAAGTCTTGCACTCCTTCATGGAGCTGTCCTCTAACAAACATTCCTTGTGTTCCCTCTTCAGTTTCTGATATTTCAAATTCATCAGTGGCGTCCCATATGGTCAAATCTTTCCACGAATCTTGCACTGGTCTTCCGTTCGGATCATTAGCAGATTGCATCGTATGTTTGCACTATACTCAACACCACAGGTCCTATCTTATGTTAAGGGGTGCTCATTACAGACTATTATACATGTTTTGAAAGCCATTGTTTTCAAATGCATCCAACCAGAAACCCATCAATGTGTTTGCTAAGTTTGCATGCAAAAGAATACAAAACATTCTGCTAACGTGTAAACAAAAAATTTGAAGTGTATTTAAAGGGAAACTAGTGTATTTTCCTTGGCTTATAAGAAGTAGTTTAGTCGGCCCAAAAACATAGTCCACTACCAATCTCCTAATACAGTTTCAGGCCCGCCATGATTCATGGTTGGCTCATTTTGGATTCTTCGTAGTGAAATATTTGTCTATTCTTTTTTTTTTGTGCAGTGAACTTGGTAATGGATAAAATCGCTAATCGACCGAGAGGTTTTGCATTCATTCGCTATGCTACGCAGGAGGAATCTCAGAAAGCCATTGAGGGGATGCATGGCAAGGTACTCTAAATTTGTTTCATCAAGTGTATTTGTATTGTTGACTCGGATGAAATATTTTTTCTGGTTTGTGTATTTGGTGTATGTAATTTATCTTTCAGTTTCTGGTCCACTTCTGGTTTTGAACTATTAGGTTTCGGAGGTATGCTAGAACATTTCATTAGTAGTTCAATATAGGAATGTTGGCATTAGGTCTTGGGTCGTCATAGACTCAAGACTCATAAGTTACTTCAGCTTGACCTGAAATTTGGCAACTGCAAAGCTCTGGGTTATACACCCAAATGTTAATATGTTTACTGGAACCAATTGACATATTGTTGGTTTTATTGGTGTTAATGAACTGAGGAAACCGATTTTGTAAGGTTGACTTTAATCGATGCCTCTTAGAAATCGACTTCTTGAATCTTCTTCTTCCTCTGCGACAGATTTTCTTAATTCCCAAATTTTCTCCGCTCTTCCCTCTCCTCAGCATCCATCAACCAATATCACTTTGCCTGCAATCTACTCTAATATCTTTATCATTGTTATTTTCAAATTTCAAGGTGTCGGGATTAGGCTGACACAGCTGATGAAAGTAGGCACATCTGCCGTGGTAGTTTGATATTGACGGTGGTGGTACAGAGGGAATTTGTACACATGCTGAAGGAGCGTAGGGAGTTTTGGATAAAGAGGAATAAGATTAGCAGCAGAAGGAGGAGAAGACCGGAAAAGAAAAATATTAGGATTAGGAATAGGAATGAAACCAACAATCTTTCTCTTTTCATTGGCGATAAAAATATTAATATTTGGATAGTCATTGAGGAAATTGTCTGGACAAAAACTCAATATAGATATGTCAAAATAATATGACACTGGGACCTTGTGCTGTTATAACAAAGTTTTCTCCGCATGTAAATGGTTAAAAGTTATTTTTTTTTTGAGCAAATGATTTAAAAGTTTTGCCATTCTCAATCTTGCTTGTTCTTTTTTTTTTTTTTAAAAGCAAATGTGACTAGAGTTTCCAAATTCTGTACACACTGGAATGGAGTCAGATTTGAATGCACTTGTGATCCATTGTTTTGCTGTCCAAGTGTTGGAGAGGCAGAGTACAGGCAGCCTTTTGAGTTTCATGCTATTCTGTGCTTAAAGACGGCTGTTTTCAAATGCTGTAATATTGAAAGGTTTCAGCTTTGAGCTGTCTTCTCGCGGTAGAATTATCTAATCTTTCTCTATCTTGGTCTATCTTGTTGGGAAGAAAATTTGGAGCATTTAATAGGCACGTCTATGTGAAATTTTTGGCATCTGGGGTCTGCTGATGCATAAAGAATGCAAATCTTTTGTGACTAACACAAATGGCATCCACTAAATTTGCAACTCTACAGACATATGATGCTTGAATATGACTTTGGCTCCGAGTAGACTTCAATACATGATATCAATGCACTCCCTGCATATTCTACATGATGTCTTCCACCTGTTTGGTTATCAAATCTTGTGTACTCTTTCTAGAAGTTATGATCTAGAGCTCTTTGATACACTGTTGACATCCTTTGATATGAAAGTTGCCTAGTGGGAGTGAAAGTTTTTCCTGACTCGAAGTGTACTTACAAACACCTTCTCAGTTCCTGGATGGCAGGGTAATATTTGTTGAATTTGCTAAAAGTAAATCAGAGCTTCGCCAAAGCCTCAAGCAAAAGCCAAAATTGACTTGATGGGTAAGATATATGATCACACTGGATTAGGCCCCAAAGCCCTGAATCTTTTTGAAGAAACGTCTCGGAAGACTGGCTGAACCTGTGTGTTTACAACTACCAACCTGCAGTCAAATTCAACTAGCAACATCGTTTAAGAATCCCCAAATAATGGAAGATGTGAATGATATCTAAGCCAGCTATTTGAGATGTAAGCTGCGATTCCTGGCCATGTCTACTCTTAGCAATCTGAATGTCATTTTACCACGTTCCACATGGTGAATTGGTTGTATGTGGGTAGAAGAGCAAAAGGGAATCATCAAATTTCTCTCCAGACAAGCATTTACAAAGTTGAAATAAACACTAGAATTTGCTGGAGTCCAGGCAAGGTTTTATATGTGATCATACACGTTCTTCTCTGTCTCCCTAATCGAGTAATTTTGATGTTTATACATGCTGTACCAGTCAGTTTAACAGTTTCCCTTGATAGAATTCAATTACAGCAAAGCGGATGTAGCGAATTTAAATATTTTACGAGATCATCTAGAGAATCAGTGAACCATTGGTTACTGTAGCAAGTAACGTTTCTGGTGAAGACCAAGGACATAGCTTTCTTCACTCTTTTCCTTTGAAATGGACATACCTCCTGCTTGCTGCATATTAGCATTTGGAAGCAATACTTCTAAATTGTGACTTTAAGCAACTAAAGAGCAACTTGGCAGTAGGTGAACCTGCAAATCAAAGGAAGCACACTTCAGGAGAAATTTGCCATTTGTGTGCGACTCAATCCTCTGATTTCAGAGCTATTTTCTATTTTAACACCTCTCTAGTGTTTCATGGAGGCAAATAACGTTGCTTGAGATGTCAGGAAATGCCAAAGCCTACCACTACCCTTCCTGTTTTTATGGCTGAATGTCTATGTTAAATGCTGAACTTCGGTGTTAGGCAATGCTTAATTTTCATAGTAGTATAGTCTATCCACGAGTTAATCAAGTTGACAGTTGAGACTTGAAAATATGGTCCTCTTTTTCGGCTAATGTAATATACCTCACAGTGGGCAAGTTATGGCTTTATGTGCATACCAACCAGGAAGTACTTGTAAACATAGACACCTCTTGTTTGAGCTGATGCTGGTCACACGTACTCTGTATCTGACAGGGTAGGATCAGGCCTTTAATGCAATAGAGTTTCAACTACTCAGTCATTCATCAGGCCAGCAGCCCTTTGTGGTCACCATTAAGCACTCAAGTCTGGGTGGTCAACCCTTACCTTCCACCAATTTGTTACTATACATGACGACTTTCAGTGGATTTCTCGTGGAATTTCTACTCGTTGACTCTCTCTCCCACTAAAATAGGTTATAAAAATATTACCGTTGCAAAAAAAGAAAATGTCAATCTTCAGCCTTCACTTGCTAGAAAATCTGAACTTCATCATCAGTCACTTATGGTTTGAGCTAATTCTGGTCCCATGTACTTTGAATCAGACAAGGTAGGATAAGGATTTTAATGCAATAATGTAATTGGACAGAGGATTATTTAGGATAATTTTTCGGAAAAAAAAATATTGTAACGTTTTTTTTTATATGATATATGCAAGTTAAGAAAGTGATTGGAAAATGTGTTGATCGTGTAAGGAAATAAAATTTGGACAAACAATCTCCGTCCAAACAAATCCGTGCAATGCACGGGGATATCTTTGAGTCAGACTTTTTTTAATAAATTATTATCTCCAAAGTGAAAGGGACATGTTATAATTACTTTTCTATATTACAATATGAAAAAGGCAAATAATTTAATGAAGCAAAATATTACTTAGAATCTCCTTCAAAATCAAGCTCTATAAGGGTTGTTCAAAATATGACTGAGAATGTCTGAACTTCATCATTCATTTCTTCTGAATGGCTTTTCAATGAAAATGGTCCAACTGCAAATAAGTTTTTCAATCTGCTGATATTCTCCATTTTTCCTGATTTGGGAAGACGACCCTAATTATGTCTGCGGATATTCAAACAGCAATCGGTCCACTTAAATACCTTTCATGCTGCCTAATTGTACCGTCAAAGTTTCCTCCTTTTATCAAACCAAATAATTTCACTAGTTGCTGACAATCTTGGCCTTCAACCTTTTACCTAGACGATGCACAATAGCATCCACCCAAACCCAACCTAGAGAGGAGAAGGAACGACAACTGGAGAGACATTATTATTATTATCTTCAACTATTATTGTTCATGTGGTCCTGTACATATTAATCAAGTCAAAGCTGCACGATGTTTTCTAAACCTTATATTCTAGACGACCAACAACCGTTCTTGCCCCTTGTCCGTCGCAAAACCAGCCACTGGTTTCCCTTGCAACAAATACAAGCTTTTCCACTATAAAAGCTGTCATATTGTGCGTTGCAACAGTTGGGTAGTCAAGCAGGCAGGCACGGGCTCTTACTTCCATCACAACTTTTCTCATAGATGATAGATCACTTCAGAGCCTATCAAACTGAAAGGGCTAACATCTTTCAGCTTATATAGCAAGAGCAGCAAGAGGATGAATAGAATTTAAGGAGAAACAAATTTAGAAAAGAAGCAACCCTACTTACAACATGGAAGCTGTATCAATTCCAGGAAGAAATGTTATTGATAGATTCACAGTTACAAATATTTTCCTCAGGTTACAGTTAGATGTAGAAAGAAGAAATGAAAAGCATTACAGAAGTCAGTAGGCATCATTGTTAAAAAGAAAGACTTATGAACACGTCTTGATGAATTTACCAAATTCATTATCTGACAGATCAATGAAAAATCACTTGTCGGAAGCCATTCCCTTGTTGGCGCGCGCTTCCTGATCACTGTGAAAAAGCATAGCTTATCTGACTCTGATTTTCAACAGAATATCCCACCAATTGGTAGCATCTTGAAGATCTTCTCATACATGAAACTGTTAATTCTCTGCACATCACCTGAATTAGCGCGTCAATAGGATCGGAACCCTCTATAAAAATGAATTAGCCCAGATAAAACTGAGAAATTCTGAAAAAAGTGCTTCATGGGAATTAGGATATAACCGAAGGCGCTATGAGCAAATACGGGCTCTTTGGCCCTCCCGCTCCTCAGCTGCAACAAGAGATGATGTTGCATCTCTCTCTGCCAAACACCTTTTGTATGGCACAAACCCTTTGGTAGACCTCTGTCTCTCAACATTACCTAAATTTTTAGATTGAATAGCATTAAAAATTTTCTGCCCCTCTTGGCTGCAGTAACCAACCCATCGTTCGAACCAGTTAACGATATTTCCCTTTGAGATTCTTCATTCTTGACAGCCCCTTTATATGGATTATTCCCAAAATTCTCTATAGCTGTTTGATTGCTCAAAGAAAGATTTGGCAACAGTGGACCATGAGACCAAGTCCACATCGGTATCATATGGGGAATGGAACCCAGTTGTCCAAAATCCTCACTTACTGCATACTGTGGTACTAAGCAAGCCACTGGGGTAATGCAGCTCGGAACCAACGACAAATTAACCTGTGAATCTATAGTATTTTCTGCAGAACCTATCATATGGCGGCCATTTCTAATGTCTAATTTCTCTTTCATGGAGTGGGAAGGGGATAGTTCAGAATTCTCAGGTGCTGATGAAGACAACTTTTGATTCTCTTTAATCTCTACAGTTCTTCCAAACAACTTAATTTTGCCGGAGCTTGTTCAAAAGCTGGATCTTCAGCAGGACATGCTCTACCAAATGTCAGCAAATCGAGTTCCTGAAACCACAAATCAAATGAATATAAGAAACAGTTAAACTCAAAAAGAACTAAATAGGCATTAGTAGACTAAACAACCAGAATATAGGAATAGGAAAATAATAGGTTTTGCTGCGGTACCATTGCTGATTCATCATCCTGGGTTGCAGAAGTAGCCAACAGGATTGCATGACCATATTCTTTCTCTTCCTCAACAGATGAGTCAGATGTCATGCATTCATTATCATTTTCAGTTAACTGAACGATAGCAGAGTGTGCATCATCAGTAGTATACGACACTGGCGAAAGGTGAGACCTTTGCGGCTCAGAAGATGGAGATCCACTTGTATCCGATCCAAGTGCAGACAGAACTGAAGTAGGTGACCTACTGTTCCTTTCTTCACCCGACCTCTTGAATGGAGGAGCTTGTTCAGGTTGATGTGGATCATCTAGCGTTGTTTTAGTAACGTCCGTCACTTTACGAGGGTAAGGATGAGCAGGTTTCTTCTTGGGCCGAGGAGGAGGGATTTCAATTGGATTAAGGGAACCCTCACATTCATTAGAATCACGTGCAACCTGTTAGAAAGGAAAATCTCGGTCAACAATCTGAAAGATACGGCATCACCTCTGCCTCATCACCTTAGAGTAATATGAACCACAGAGAAACGAATCAGCCAACTTGCTTATCAAAGTGTGAATATGCATAAAACTTATTAAAGGATCAGTTTAAATACAACACCAACCTTGGCAAAAAACTTCTGAGCATGGCTACGAATCTGAATAGCAGTTTTTGTGCCTACATGTTCTGCATCGCCAGAATAGTATTTAGACAAGTTTAACATACTACTTTCCACTTAAGGTCCAGGCAGCCTATTCACTTGTTTGCTCTACTCTTTAGGAAAGATTATCGAAAACAAGCAATCAAAGAAGGGAAAAACATTGTAATGCAGCTGAACAACCCTGTTCCATACTCACCTTCTATTTGGCGCCAAGCACGACCATACAGCTTTAGAGCTTCAAGAAACCTCTGGTGTTCTTCCTCTGTCCATTTTTCTCTTTGTTTTTTGATGGTATATGGCTTCCTCACCTATTGTATATAGGCACTAAACATCTAATTATGAAGAACTGAATAATTTTGGGAGCCAAAATGAGCAAAGGAGGGTAAACAGTTTAGCAGCATCATGGAAGGGAGAAAGACCTTTAGTGCATATCCATTTCCCATTTCAGTTAAGGCCTGAGTTTGAGCTGCTGTAGTTTCCAAATGAGCCCGCATACCCAAAGATACATCATGGCTAGTGCCTTCAATTAGATCCTACAAAATAGGGCATAAAAACTTCAGATTTTTGAGATGCAATTCAAACCATACATCAATCCAGAAAAGATCCATCCTGCCCCACTTATTTACCCAATTTGGACAGACCACATAAGCTATGAAGTGCCTCCAGTGATAGCCTTTTGCAATTTCCCCAACAAAAGCTCCCCCGTTTCTACCGCATCAAGCGATCCACTTTCCCAAAAGGCCCAAGAATACAAGCGAAAAATCCTCAACATCCCCCTATGCTCTAAATTTCTTTAGTTTACAACAGCATCCTCTCTCCTAACATAATCTCCTGGTCTCAAACTAGATTATATAGCCATCTATTCTCACAAAAATTGTACCACAATCAAACCGAAACTAAAGCTAGCTGAACTACTTAACCACTATAAACTCATAGCCTCAGAATGAAAAAGCTAGCCTTCAATTCCAATTCACAAGCCTTTTAATCAAGATAACTTTTATTCAGTGTTACAGAAGTCAATTCAAGAATCAAACTTTTTCCAAGAAAGCAATTTATCTTCTAGCTGTAATATCCAAAATAATTAGCTCAAAACTAAAATAACCACACCATTGTCCATAAAGCGGCTGACCAACCAATCCCAATTAGTAACCAATATCTCTATTCAATTGAAACATTCTTCGCAACCCTTTTAACAATTCATGATATTCTCCACAAATCATGGGATAATTTTTTTTTTTTTTAAATAAAGAATAGAAAAGCAGCAGAACCAAATCTTGTAAAAGAAAAGGTAATACTGCTCAAAACACTGTACATATAAAGAAAACTTACAGGAGCCTCAGCCACCATTTTCTTCTTCAAGAACTACTAAAAATGGAAAATGGGTTGCCGTAAACAAGTCAAAGATGAAGGCTGAACAGGCAGAGAGATCTTGAAAGCAGAGATATGAGTGGTGAATATATGAAAGATGAACCAAAGAAAGAAATATACAGAGTAGGAGGGAGGGGGGCAGCTGGGGTGGTGGGATTGTGACGTGCCAAGTAGGACGCTTGAATTGGAAATCTAATTTTTTTTTTCAAAAGAAATCTATTAATGGAAAATAGTAAAATAACAAATGGAAATTTCAAGAAGGTAGAGTAGGAATTAGGAAAGAGATCTTGTGGCTGAAATCAAACGGGACAACTACCACGTGTCAGACAATGCTATGGCTCCCAGTCTTTTTCTGAGTTTGCAAGCACAAGTCTTCTTCAGCTCTCATATGTTTTTCTCCTGGCCAGTGGCCTCTAGACTTCAGGGAGGCAAGGGAAGTAAGTTAGGGTCCATTCCTGGAGTAAGATATTATTAATTAATTAATAATAATCTTTGTCTTTGGACGATATATTTCCCACTGTCTTAAAGACACAAATGCAGCTGCCCACTAACGTCAAGAAAAGTGTTTGTGGAAGATATTCAACCAGCCAGCAATTTTCTGACCCCACTAACCAATCCCTTAACAAGTGGGCTTTTTTTTTTTAATTACCTTTTTTGGTGTTTGGAAGAGAACATTTATAATTTTTTTTTTTTTGTAAATCTTGGAGATGCTGATTTTTTTTTGTTTAATTTGTCTAATGGATGTCCTAGGTACTCGTTAAGTAATTATTATATTTTTGATAATATATGATTAATTAGAAAAAAAATATAAGTGAAGGTAGACAAGATTAAATAGGAAAAACGTGTAAATATAAGAAAAAATAATAATTATTAATATATATATGTGTGTGTATATATATATATATATGATAAATTAGGTGAATATTAGGTGTGTTAACAAGTATCTGATAAAAAATTCTTTTTTTTTTTTGCATACTAGTTTATTCAGGTATGCCCAAAGAGTAAGATTTACGAGTGTAGCCAAGGTACAAAACTTAGGAAATATATGGCTTAAATGTCCATCAAAATGTCTGAGGTTTGAAATTGAAGGACACTTTTTCAAAAAAAAAAAAAAATGAAGGCCATAAATATGGTCAAAATCTATTTAGTGGTTAAAGCTGCGGCCGGGCAAGGTCAGGAACAGCTGGATTCAATTAATAATCATTCCCCATAAATTGTGTGTCTCTTATCATCCGTCCTATATATGTAGCTCCTCAACAAAAATTTACTCCCTCCCTTTTTTTATAACTTTTTTTATAACTGACGTTTAAGAAATTTGCTCTTAAGTACTTTTATCTTTCATTGTAT